TTCACTCAATATAATGTAAAGAGGACTGGAGAAAAATCTGGATGTGATGGTAAGGGTGGTTGTCAGGGGTGTTTTGAAATGTGAAGCTTGAGATGCCTATCTCACATACAATATCAGGATGATAGCTGGACACATGAGAGTGAAGTTCAAAGGGGAGAGGTAAGGTTCGGTTGTGAGATTTAGAATCTGTATCATTTAAAGTACAAAGTTATATTGAGATTATATAGGAAGTGAGGACAGGTAGAGAAGAGGACTGTTGCCAGGAGTGAGGTTTAGGAAAATAGATTGAAAAAAAATTAAATGAAGAAGAGTCCTTGTGAGATGGGGAAAACAAATGCTGAATGGACAGAAAAGAGGAGCTCTAAGGTCCAAGAGAGCTCTGTTGTAGGTGTAAACATGTTTTTGTTTTGATCCCAGGTGTAGGATTTGGGACTAATTCAGAATGTCTACAGTAGCCAACTATTTGCCTGGTGCAGGCTCTGAGAGGGGCCCTTTGCCAGCTGCAGAGAGCTTCAATCTGAGAACCCTGGAGAGGGAATAAATGACAGGGCCCAGAGAGAGGAGAGGACTGCGAGAAAGAAGTCTGCTGGTGCTTTTTCTCCCCTGCTGCTCCTGATTGCTGTTCATGGAGTGTGAAGAGAAGTTGGTGAGAGCCTGAATCAAAGATTAGATTTCCCCAAGGAACCTGACAGGAACCCCACGACCCTAACCAGCAAGAAGCAGCTAAAAAAAACTATGCCCTCTTCCCTCTAATCTTCTTTCTCTCCTACACGGTATTGGGGTGATGGAAGGGATTGGGGTGGAGCATGAAGGAAGAGACATAAGAAACTAAAATAAAACTGTTTTTTTAAAAATGTATGCCAACAGAGCTCTCAGCTGGGAGAAGCCAATTAAAGCTAATTCTGATTAAACAGATCAGGCAACTAAAACTAGTTGTTGGAATGGTGGACAATCAGTCAGATGGTCTTGAGAAGAGAGCAATGGTGGGATGGAGAAGGAAAGCTCAGAGAGCAGATTCAAGAGAAAACGAAAATAGTGAAGACGGTAAGAATGGACAATTTTTCCCTGAGTATTGCTTAGAATGGAGTAAAATATGGGAGGGATGTGAAAAGAGGGTAGGTGTCTGTTCAGGTGAGTGATAGCAACAAACATGGCTCACATAATCCAGCAGCGAGTAAAAGGAGGTGCTGTGAAATGGGCGTGGTGCTGTGAGAGGGGTGTGGTGCCGAGATGGGTGTGGTGCCGAGAGGGGTGTGGTGCCGTGAGAGGGGTGTGGTGTTGTGAGGGGATGGGGCATGGTGCTTTGAGAGGGGTGTGGTGCTTTGAGAGGGTTGTGGTGCTTTAGTGAGTGGAGGTGTACGTTCTGGAATAGTCTACAGCCTTGATAAGCCCTTCCGACGTAAGTAGCTACTCTGGATGCTTCCCCCTGAATTCTCCTCGTCTTTATAAGCAGTATGTAACTTCCAAGAGCCCGCTGCTATTTCTTCCCTCTTTCTCCTTTCTGTGGCTATTTGTTGTCCACGTTACTTCTATTAGAGTGTTAGTAAAATTTAACTCACATTGAGTAGCATTGTAAACCCTTCCCCCACCCCCACCCCCCCGCAAATATCACCACCATTCTGCTAAAATATGAAGAAATGGGAATGAACATTCTGAGTACCTTGCGCAACAGCATATTTAAATTCTATTCCTTTGGTTTTATTGTCGGTTGGTTTCATTGCTCTTTTAAGGGTATTGATGACTGGCAGAATCTCTAGAAAGGCTAATGAAAAAAAAAATGCCAGAAGTATGTCCAGAATTACGCTGCATGCTGAGGACACTCAACACTCTGACCCTGGTGTTAGGCCACACCCCAAGGCCATTGCCAATCCAAACTGTGCTCTCTTCTTCACATCCTTACTAACCCAAAAGGGACTCTCAGCTAGCCAGTGGCTGGAGTTATCAGGTCTTTTTAGGAAAGCTTGTGTCAGGGTAAAGAACAGAAAAGCAAGTAGCTAGTATTTCAACTGTTTGTATCCCAGTATTGGAGTTGACCTAGTTTCTGATTCCTACCCTACAAAGTCCCATCAGTTTTCCCTCAGTAACACCGGCATTTACCCAGGAAACAACACACAGGGTATATGTGTTGTTGCTGTCTGACTTCTTGGTAAATTTTTGAATGTCTGAAGTTCTAAGTCTGTCCCTTTATGCTCCCAGTGTCCCTTAGGAGAGTAATTTCCACACATGCCATGTTCATGATGGCTGCCATACAGAGCCCAAAGACTTTTAGCAGTCATGGAGCTTTGTGTCCTTTGAGGAATATGCATTTAATGCTGCATAGTAAAGTATGATTAATCTGCTGATGAACAAGAACAGAGTCTAACTTCTGCGAGAGACTGCTGTGAATCCAAAGTGGAGTCAGACAGTTTTCATTTTATCATAGCAACACAACATATTCAATATTATATTATGAGAATGACTAAATGAACTTAATCATTCACGCAGTATAAGATGGAGATAAAATTGAACCCTGAGAATTCTTTCTTTTTCTTCCTTCCTTCTCCTCCTCCTTTTCTTCTCTTCTTCCTTCTCCTTCTTCTTCTTCATGCAGGGTCTCAGGTAACCTAGGCTGAAGATGTTGGTCTTGAAATCTCCCTGACTACAGCTCTGTAGTGTTGGGGCTACCAACTGTGCTACAACACCTAGGTCAGAAATTCCCTTGGGATTCCTATAGATAGGAAAACTGTCTGACTCTCTGTGGTGGTTTGAATGAGAATGGCCTGCACAGGCTCATATATTTGAATGTGTGGTTCTCAGTTGGTGGAACTATTTAGGAAAGATTAGGTGGTGTTTCATTTTTTAAGGAGGTGTGTTTCTGGGGACGAGCTTTGAGGTTTCAAAAGCCCATATCAGGCTCTCTCTCTCTCTCTCTCTCTCTCTTTCTTTCTCTTTCTCTGCCTGCAAATCAAAATGTTTGCTCTTAGCTAGTCCTCCAGCACCATGTCTGACTGCCTGCTGTCATGCTTCCCACCATGATGATCATGGGCTAACCCTCAGAAACGATAAGCAAGCCCCTTAATCAAATGTGTTTGTGTGTTTAATAAACTCCCTTGGTCAAGATGTCTCCTCACAGCAATAGAACAGTAACTAAGGCGCTCTCTACCCACCACTTTATTCTCCACACACGTTCTACCTGCCTCTCACTGTTTTAATTCAATACCATTTTGATATCATTAGTGGCATATGTAAGTTCTTGGTAAGAAACTCTGGCTTATAAATTGTATTTAAACAGCTACAAACAACTACCACTAATGATAATGATTTATAAGTATTTAGGCTACATTTTAGACTCTAGCTCCTGGTTGAATGAAGTGCCTGACTCCTTTACATTCTTTGCATACTCCTTTACATTCTTCTAGATCTCACCATTTTATACCCAGTACCTTGGTATGTGTGAGTGGAAAGGAATTTTAATCCAGCAACATGGCTGCTCTGGCAAGGGATCACAACCCAAAGACCTTTTAGGTCTGTGTGATCTGGCTGAAATGACACACCCTTAATCCGTCTAGCTGTAATACAGACACACTCTTAGTACACACCTTTAATTCCAACCCATGAAAGTAAAGTTAGTTTGTAGAAGGGAACACCTGTGTTGTTTAATTGAAGGGCAGTTTAATTGAAGTGATATTTAATTGAAGGGCAGACAAAGTGATGAATCAGAGAAAGATTTGGTAGAATGAGTTAGAGATAGGATATGCCCAACCTCCATGAGGACAGGAAAGAGAAGCTACTTTAGAGTACTACAGTAGAGAGGACATTACAGTTGGGTTGGCTTGATGTTAGTCAGTTGGCAGTCAATTCAAAGTTCAATTGAATGAGTAAAGTCCAGTAGAGTTGAGTTCCTTCATGAGTTCATGCAGAGGCAGTTGAAGCTAGAGAATAAGAAGGAGCCAGAAGATTAGAACAAATTGCCGGAGTTAAAGGCCAAGCAGAGCAATTCAGTCAGAAGCTGAGAGAAGCCAGTTTGATTCTTGGAGAGTCGTTTGAGCCAGAACAGCTGAGTTGAACCAGTCAGCCAGAATTCAGATAGAGATAGAAAGGGTGAGCTTATTCAGCAGTAAGCTTCCAAGGCAACAATTACACATGGCAAATAAAAGTTAAATTACATGTTAGTCCTACAATTTGACAATTCTAAACACTTAATATTTTGTACTTTCTTTCTGATTCAAAGTTGACCCAATAAACACAATAGTTTGCATATCTGTTTATATACTGTCCACTTTCATGCCTATCGAGTCAAAATGAATTCTACTGAGATGTGTCCAGCTACTCTGTTGCATGTTTACCTGGTCTGGTTTGTTCTACACTGCAATTATGGGCTATTCAAGCAGTTAAGCTAAGTATATCTGAAGGCTGAGAGTCCAGCAGTTTGGGCAGATTAGGTAATAAGCAGTAAGCACAGTTCTTTCAAGCGCTCTTACCCACACAGTTAAATACTAATTTATCAGCCTGGCCTCTCTGATAGCCACTTAATTTATAATCAACCTACCACTGCCCTGTTTTCTGCAAATCCCAAGATGCTTATGTAGTAACAAATGAAAGATTTACAAATTTTCTGACTATCTGAATGCTGACTATCAAGCTGTATAATTCAAAACTTTGTGCTTTATGGGCTTTAGCCATTTCCTTGGATCATTTGATTTAGCTGGTCAGTTCAAACAAGTTCATTAAATAAATAATTTTTAAAAATTTTAATCTAAAGCCTAAAAACATTTTTAATTCCACAAACTGATGGAATTTCTTCTTCCACTCCAGGGACAGTCACTGTACTGTCACCCAACTGATGCCAGTCACTGAGTGTTTTCAACACTCTTGCGGATGCCTTCATCTGTCCAGACTGAATATTGCCCCGTCCCTCGGGGCTTCAACGGGGTTCCTAAGGTGGAGAAATTGGAAGGAATGGGGGGAAGGGGACAAGAGACACAGAAATGAAAGCCAAGTCTGTTTGTCTGATCAAGGCTTCCGTTTATTAGAAATTTTTACCCAACTTATATAGGGAGAAGGCAAGAAAGGGGGAAGGTTAATCTACTGCTGCAGAAAATAGGAAGAGTGCTTTCATGGATTAACTATTGTACCTGCAAGATACCATAAGGATGTTCTCTTAAGATATCTTACAGATGCTCTAACAAAGGATGTCCTCACAATCTATCACCCATGATTTAGGGTCTAGATAACTCTTTTACTACATAGCTTTAGGTCTCCACTAAATGACCTTTGCTCTCTACTTGGCTTTGGCTTCAGTAACTACCTTTGTCTCCACTAGATAGCTTTGACTTTGGCTTCTGTAGATAACCTTGGCTCACTAATTGATTTTGGCTTCTGTAGATACCTTTGTCTTCACTAGATAGCTTTGGCTTCCGTAGATAGCTTTCGCTCCCGGCAGAATATGATGCTTCTATTAATGCTGTGGGAGACAAACAAATAGAATTCTTTGTTGTTTCAAAGGTTTGGAGGTTTGTGCAACTTTTTCCTCCCTTCAAAAAGTCAAAGAGCTCTCTTAGACCTTATATAGGTGAGCTGCTACCAAAGAAATAACTTAGCATGATACCCTCTGCAAGTGAGAAATAATGAGTTACATCAGTGACTCTCTAGGATTTTGCTTCAGTTGAATTCAGCATGGATCCTTGCCATTGCATGGCATTTTCCTTAGGATGGGAGAGGATTATAAAGTTAAAAGCACATGAAGCTAGTTGGTCCCATTAAAAAAAAAAAAAAAACAGTGTTAAAGTCTTAAAACTAAAAACAATTTTAAGGTCGTAAGTGCAGAGCAGAGCTTCTAATTTTACCACTTATTTCAAATTTTCTGTAAAATTCATGACACTTAAGAGCATTTTCATATTTCTAATTGTGGGGAATTATTTGAGGATCCTTTGTGTATTCATAAACAAGTTTATAAGTAAACAATATACTTTTTGCATCTTGTCTACAACTCAAAATACAATTTGACCACATCTAAGCATTTTTTTTTCTCTTTAATTATAGGAATACATCTTTGTCTTAAGAGTTACTTTAATAAATAAAACTGAAGGAATGGCTCAGTGGTTAAATTCACTTGTTGCTTTTCCAGAGGACCAGGGTTCAATTCCCATCCCTCACATGGTTATCACAACCAACTGTAACCCAAATTTCTGGGCATCTGACACCTTGTTTGGCCTCTGTAGTCACTGCATGCACATGGTATACACACACACACAAGGTGGGAAAATTCCCATGTATATATAAAATAAAAACAAAAACATAAGATATCAAATAAAAAACACAATAGAATTAACAGCATACATCTATTTTCTCCATGTACTCTACAATTTCAATGACAATATTGTTTTAAGAAAAAAAAATGGGCAGAATTTATGATAGCACCTATATAGCCAGCTTTACATTCATACCACAGTGCTTAGTCAAGAGGAAATGCTCAAAAGGTAGCAATATTGGTAATATAGCTGATGTAGTCTTTTTTAGTCACTCCTCAAACACTAGTAACTACCACCCAGTAGGTCCTGAGTTTGTGACCCAGTTCATAGACACAGTCAGCTCTGTGCCAGAGATAAACATTCTTGGATTGAGTAGATCAGTGTGTAATGAAGAGGTCAGATAGATAATAATTGTACAAAATGCCAAGCTGGGAGCTGTTACTGTACAAAGCTTTGAATTGTAGGGGGAATGACTATGGAGAGGACAGATCTGCAAAGCGGTCACAGAGTAAGGGACTTTGGGGTTTAGAGGGTCTGTGGGAAATTTTCCAGTTACCAGAGTCACTGCAAAGGCCCTTGGTGGAAAGAAAAGCTCACTGGGTAACATGCAGACTGTCAATGTCCTTCATTCACTTGGGCCATTTGTGTCATCAATCCATCAACTTCTAAATACAACTATGCGACCCCACTAAAAGATTACTTTCCGTTGTTCCCCCAGTATCTGCAGTTTTGCCCCTTCTTCTCCATGACCCACTTGTGTCATGTCTGGATCACATCAACCTATATAATCTCAAAATTTTGATTTCAAAAATTTCATTCTGTCATTTCCTTCTCTTCAAGCTTTACTGGTTCTAACATATTTATTCCATTCACTAGCTCATTAATTCTACAAACCTCATGGTTTCATGTATTCCTTTATCCAGGTTGCTCTAAAATTCTACTATATAACTTTTTAGTATTGTTTATTTATTCTTTGAATATTCATACACATATATAATTTATTTTGAACAACTTTCCCCAGATGTTCTAATTCCCTTTCACTTCTGTGATTTATTCTTCCATGCCTAAAGCATACATTCTAGTCAAATGTAAGCCATCCTTAACTGGTCCCAGCATTTGTGTGGTTAAACATTGCTAGAGAATATTTATACTTTTGGGGTCACTTACATAATTATGCTTAATGGAGTCAGCCATCAATAACATCTTGACAAAAACAATTGTTAATTTTATACTTTCATCCCTTTGGAAAATTTTTCCTCTGTGTTTATTATGTATAATGGGTGTGTGTTTGTATAGGCATACATGTACTATGGTATGCATGTGGAGGTAACAGTGTCATTTCTAACCTTTCACCTTTCAGCTTGTTTGAGTCAGGGCCTCTTAGTCTCTCTTTTCCTCCCTCCCTCCTTCTCACCGGCACGCATATGCCAAATCCAGAGATTCCCCTGTCTCTTGCCTTTCATCTCCCCACGAGAGCACCAGGAATACAGGCATTCATATTCGCCCATCTGGCTTAAAAATACAGGTTCTGGGAATTCAAAACCAGGTCCTTAAACTTGTATGATGGCCTGTCATACATGACACAACCTACAGTCACCTGGGAAGAGTGAAACTCAACTGAAGAATTTTCTAAATCACATTGGCTTATGAGCATATTTATGGGGAATTGTCTTAATTGCTAATCAATTTATGAGGGCCCAGGTTGTCATGGGTCATACTACTCTAGGCAGGTAGTCCTGGGCTACATAAGAAAGCTAGCCGAACATGATCCAGTGGTGAGCCAGCACGTGGAGTTCCCTACGGCTTCTTCTTCTGGTTCTTCCCTTGAGTGCCTGTCCTGATTTCCCTTAATCATGACCCGGAAGTGTAAACGGAAATAAACTCTTTCCTATCAGGGTTGTTTTGGTCATGTTATTTGTCATAGCAACAGTATCAATCCAGGACACAGGACAAACACTTTTACCACTGAGCCACCTCCCTGTTTCCATGTATGCATTTTAAACCACCGAATGCATATGTTTTCATAAAATTATCCTCGTACAACATTCCATATGTCAGTAGTTTGACTTTTCCCAACTGTCCGGAGAGGAGAATACCAAAAGATGCAAAGTATCCTATGACCAACCAAAATTTAATTGCTACAAAATGTTCCTGAAGATATAGTTAGTACATCATATGTTTTCCCTGTTGTGTTTCGCTCTTTTTTCTTTACCACCTTTAACCATTAATAATACTTTGCCTGGGTCAGCCTTTACATATTTGGCTTTCTAACATTGTAGTCCACTAACTATCATTCCCTAGTCTCCCATTCAGAATAGGAGACCTGCCTCTGCCGGTTTGTTTCCTGGTTAGGATTAAGTGCTCTCTCAAGACTTTAAACCATGCATAAAGTTCTGACACCCAACCATTAGATGCCATCAGATGACATTTAATTTCCCATTAGATGTTGGCACACTGATCTTAGTTGTGCCAGAAGCTATGGATAATGCAGCCTCTTGGGGACTTTCACTTTCCCCAGATTTGCAATGCCAGTTGATTCCAAATTCTAATTCTTTTGAAGAAAATGTCAAAAAATTATGTTACAAGTTGCATAGTTGTACTTGTAAAGTCCTGGAATGTATTAAGCATCCTACAAAGGTCATGTCTATAATAATTATTACTATTTAGCACACTCTAATCCAGGTACCGAATTCATATTGCCCATCAATCCAAGGTAAGGATACTAAGTTTGTTGTTGCTGATTCCTTTTTTTCCCCATTGCCACAGTTTCCCTTTCAATCTCTTCCAGTCTCCTCTAGGCTCCTATACACAAGTACTCTAAAGTTCTCCATAGTTTATCCCCATGTGTTACTTCGATTGCATTATCTTCCACTCTCCTTATGGCTTTCTAAGAAATTCATCAAATAGTAACTGGGAAAAACTCTACCCTGATTTCTCTTTAAAATTCACCAAAAACCACCACTAATGGTACAAGAGAATCCCTAGAATACAAAAAGGAATCACACACTCCCTTTGTAGACCAGGCTTTTCCTCAAACTCACAAAGATCTGCCTGCCTCTGTGTCCCTGAGTGCTAGGATAACAGGTGTATGCCACTATGCCTGGCTCATCCTTCAGCTTTTTAAGTTAAATACCATGTTGCAATTTTTAAAAACTAGAGGCCAATCTCTCTCCTTAGTTTTGATGACAATAGAAAAAACTAGGATATATTTAAAAGACTATCTATAAATAATTACAGTAAATGTAGTTAATTTAAAAGCCTTAAAATATTTGAAGTAAAAACAGTATTAAAATATTAATGATTATATCCTGTGACTGCTTTCTACTCTGAAAAGGAAGTTACTATTTAATTATATATAAAAACAAAGCATTCTTCCTTCACTGTTATTGAAAACATATCTAGTACTATGAAAACAGTGACTTGTCATTCTTGACTCATTTTATTTAAAGATTGAAAAACCTATAGACCTTTCTTATTCCTATAGAATAATTCTATAGCTTATTTTAAGGTAAGTCACCAATTAATGACTTCTGTGTGTCTGTTTTTATTTTTCTTGATTATATCTGCCAGCTTAAGTTGTATCTAGCAGTATGTGACAGAGGGCCGAAGCTTTTTCTTTAACATCCATAGATTTTTAATTAGAATGGACCCCTGTACCTAAGGACAGATTAACTAGAGAAAAACAAACAAACAACAAAAACCCTAACATGTCTACTTCATATGTGTATAGCAGACAATGAGAATCTCAGAAAGATGGTTTAAATTTTCATATTATATCTTAACAAAAGAACAATCCTTGTTGCATTTTTTTTAACATTTTGTTTTTATTTTTATGTTTGTTATGTGTATGTATGCCACATGTGTGGGTGCAGTCAGGGGCCAGAGGAGGACATTAGCTGGACCTATGGGTGGTTGTAAGCTGCCCAACTTGGTATTGGGAAAGCAACTCCCACCTCTGGCAGAGCAGTAAGGGCTCTTAGCCACTGAGTGGCATCTGTTTGGCCCCCAGAACAGTACATTTTTGGAGACATAGGAAAGGAAAGGGAGATGGCTTTGAGACTATGGACAGCAGCCTAGGCATGAGCAGGGAAATGGTGGGGAAAAGCACGCTAGTGAGACTACTTAGCGTAGAGCCCTTGATACTGTCTCTGGATGGGAGCATCTCAGGCTTTTAGTTTTATAAATGTATGTCCTTTGGGGAAAATAAAGGAAG